CCAGTCACGTTACCCACAATAAACCTGTACTCTGGAATAAGCGTAAATGACTACGGAAAACCTTAATTAGACTCTAATTTAAGCGACAGGAATCATTGAAATGTTCGAAAAATTATGCCTTACCGGGGGTAATTTAAAATTAAATGGTATATTTTTTTCTGAAATATGTGGTGGCTGTTTGGTTTGTGAAAGTTTGGGGTGCGGCTTATATTGCAGACTTTTCCCTGGGATCAAAAAGATGCGGCCTCAAAAAGGAATTTTACGGTACCAAATTATCATGATTCTGCATCTTCCACACAACACTGGGCATTCATATGGGCAATTCCACAGTGACAGACGTTACATTGAGAGGGGTTGAAAGTTATTTCATGGAATTTAATACTGTGTTATAGACATGCTTAGGAATCAAATATTTGTGTGACAGACGCTACATCAAAAGGACATAGGTAAAAAAGTACTGAGTAAGGCTATGAATGTTACCTCTTGGCATGATGAGTAGCAAATTCTGCTAGGTACTGGTAATACTGAAATAACTTCCAACCCCTCTGAATGTAACGTTCATACGTTCATCACCATGGAATTTGCTCTAATGTGTCACATATGTCTATATATTTTATTTCCTCTGCATACATGTATAGTTTTACTCCAAGCAGAACATCGGCTCTAAACCTATTGAGGTGTTGTACTTTTATATACCATACAATAACCAGGTTCAATTCTTGAACATTTGTTAACCAATTTGAAACACTCATTGGTTAAACTATATAATTTTGATTTCAGTTCCTAATGCCAACTTGACTTTAGAAAGTAACAGACAGTTTCCAGTATGTGGTGTGGATGTTATGACTGGTGCTATGTTAACAAACTCTGATGTCAGTCAGCCTTCTAGCCCTGATGCTGTGTCAGTGATATCTACCAGTTCTGATTCTTCCCAGTTTGTCTGTGGAAGTCCACAACCAGGTAAAAGAATACATGTACATAAAAATGAGACTCATCAAAGTCCTGTGCTTAATAAACACTTTCTGTTCAAAAATGTAAAAATGCAAGTGATCCAGTGTTGATTATGTAACCAGCTTACATTGGTTGTATAGTCTTCTTGTAACACAAGTTTAGAAAAGTTTAAATACAGTTTTAATAAGCTGTAATATTTAATTTTTGTTTTACAGATAGTTCTCTAAATCCCCATGCAGCTGAATTTACCCCAGGTTCACCCCCACCTGTAGTTGGTAGTATTGACAGCTTAGACAGTGCATCCAGTATTGGTAGTCCATCTGATGGACAATTACCAAGATTACCATCCTTTGCTGATGTAAGTACAACAAATCAATTGTCTATTACCTTTATGCTGTGTGGAAATAGTTAAATCACTGCAATGTGTGACTACAAATCATCTAAAACCACAATATGACACATGTATGTTGAGGCGTTTCAAGCTTTCCAGACTGAAGGTGGCACAAATCCATACTAGGCAACATTTGACTGTATGAATGTCAATGTCTCCCTACGGTTGTGGCAAAGTCGACTCCGATGGTTCGGACATGTATGTCGTATGGGTCCCAGAGAGACTACCTAGGGCCCTGATGGGTTTTAATCCAGAGGACATAGGCGGCCGGCGGAAGAGAGGAAGGCACCCGACAAGATGGAAGGAGGCAGTTGAGAGGGATGCAAGGTCAGCTGGAGTTACTGGTGACATCTGCTCCCTTGCTGCAGACCGACAAGAATGGCGAAACGTGGTCGCACTAGTGGTGATCTGATCGTCTTGGTTGCAAAAATAAAAAAAAAAAAAATAATAAATAATGTCAATGTGTTATACTGTAAACTGGTTAATTATTCACTGGGTTTTAATTTTGCTTATTTCGCTGATTGGAAAATGAGCTAAGTTTAAACCCAGTGAATATGTAAAATTTAGCATAGAATACATTATCTAAAAAATAAAACTGTGAATTTAAAACCCATTGAGTATGCCTGAAATGGTAAATCAGCGAAATTTAAACTCAGTGAAAATTAGTTATTTTACACTAACTGAAATCAGAAGATTTGTGCTGAACAAAGTGTATTTTTGTACATTAGAAAATTTATAGGGTTATATTTTTAACAACTTGTTGTACTTCAACAACGTGTTGTATGGTTGTATTTCATTCTTGTACTTCAGTCACTTTCTATACATGTACACTAACCAGATGTTCTCTTTAATTAGATGTTACGTGCTGGTAAATCTAAAGATGCTATTCCAAGAAGAGCGTCAGTGCCAGCTAGATTAGATCATACAGTATCAGTCACTAAAGGGCATGGAGACAGTGAAGATAGTGATGCTGAAGAACCTATCGCTGTACCATTGTATAAAGACGCATTTAGTGATGCTATACAGAATGCTATAGATAAAGCAACAGTTGACAAAAAAGGTATCTACAGTCTTTTTTAGCTCCGCTGTCGACTTTGTCGAGCAGAGCTTATCATATGAGTGATTGTCCGTCGTCCGTGTCAATGTTTTACTTTTTCGACTTCTTCTTGAAAACTACAAGCCTGAATGCTTTGATACTTGGTGTATATGTACCTTGGGTAGACCTCTCTCAGATTTGTTCATTTCATGATGATATCTTCAATTCTCTAATTTTGGTGAATATTTTTGTCAATTTTGGTAAAAAGTGATATTTTCAACTTCTTGTTAAAAACCGCAAGTCCAATTGCTTTGATATTACATATATAGGTACTACATGTGGATCTCTCTCAGATTTGTTCATTTTGTAATGATAT